TTCAAATGTCATTTCAAAAGTACTTTTCTCTTCATTTATTTCGCTAATATTGTTCACAGCCAAACAGTTGATAATATTTCATATAAATTTTACGTAGTTATTTAATTGAAAAAAAAAACAGATTTAAAAGAACCCTCCTTATCTTTAAAAATTACATTGTTTTAAATGACAAAATTATATTAAAAGATATAAAGATATATATCAAGTTTATTCTTTTATATCCGATCGATTGATTGTATGTTGTTTAACGTCCCTCTTAGGAATTTTTCACTTATGAATATGGAGAGGTCACCACCTGCATGTGGAGAGCTGCATATTTTCTCATATACTCGGCACTTGCGGTCATTGAACAGTGAGGGATCTTTTTCGTGCCAGCACATACTGCAACACGAGACCTCGGTTTATTTGGCTAAAGCTGCAGGACCGGTCTCCACGACCCACAGTGGGATCAACTCCTTATTCCGCGACTCTAAAGCAGACGTTCTTACCCCTGCGCCACGCGGCGAGCAACATTAAGTATTCGAAAAATATATAAACTTTAAAATTTCACCTGTCAAGAGGCGTTTGCGAGATGAAGCCAATGACTTAGATTCCACTTTAGACTCAGTAAATTTCAGTAATTCTTCTGATTGTTCATCGTCCACGGATACCAACTTTTCAGGCTGCAGAGAATTTTTAAGTTTTTGTTTTTTACACTGCAAGATTCTAAATTGAATATAGTTCATTATTTTAGCGTGCGATTTAACTGTAACCATCAAACTGAGGTTCTCTTTTTGCAGTCTCTTCACTTGGGTGTCCATCTTCCTCACTGATATTTCCATCTTATTGAGTTTACTTTTCAGTTTATCATTTTCGGTCTTCAGCATCTTATTCTCCTCCTCGTAATTTGCCATATATTTCTCAAGATTCCTTATCCCTTCATTTTGAATAGCATTTTCCCGTCTTTCCTGCTCTTGCATCTCTAGCAATGTATTTATCACATCTTCTAAATGAGAGATTCGATCATCGGTCATCATCATTGGTGGCGACGATCGCTGCCAAAGAAAACCAAAATCAGTAGCAAAGAAAGAGGCGCCATTTCACCTTTTTCTTCTTTGAATGTCCTTATTTTACTTAGATAACCTTCTAACGTCTTATCTAATATGTGCAAAATAAAGATAACATGTTTTGGAACGTTTAAGAGGAAAAGTCATGCATATACATCTGATTTTGTTAAAAAGGAGCTATTATTTGCAACGCATTCTTCAGTCTAAACTGAAAACCGAGATGCAGTGTGAGCAAGACTTGTTACAATAAAGAATACTTTTTAAATATGTCTGAAATGAAATGGATCATCAAAGTTTTTCGGTTCAATTTATCAAATGCACATTAGAAAAGTTTAGTATGCCAGAAATATGATGTTTTTTTAAATTGGTATGTGATATTGATCTTAAGATTCTCTCTAAAAAAACTGATTTTTTGCCCAAAGTATGACACAATTGCATCTCAATGGACATGAGTATCAATTTTCTTTTCTCATACTTCTGCTTTGATTTTTCCAGTGTTTTTGTTGCTTGCCTAGCTCAGTGGTAGGTAAATAGGCTCTAGAGTCGTGAACAAGGAGTTGATCCTCAACATCTTGGAAATCCAACGTTCCTCCGGTAATTGATGACGGCTTCATATGGGTGAATTTTTTTTGAGAAGGACAAGTTGAGTAATTTCTTGCGAAAAAATCATAAGCCAAGGATTATCCCATGGTCAGTATGAAATTTTTAAATGAAATATACAGCCGCACTATCGGTCTTTTTCACTTACGAGGGTTGATCCAAAAGTTCGTAGAATTTCTTTCGTAGAATTTATTATGATGAGATTAACGCATAGACATATCTGTAAAATAGGACCAGAAAGCAAAATAAATTGAAAAAAGTTCTAATAACTTTTAAAGTCACACGAGCTTTTTTTAAATAGATGGTTGTATAAACAGGGTAAGACTTTGACTAGACATAACTTGAAAGTCTTTAGTTCAAGTCACATTTTGTGACGTTTTACATTAGCTTATGGGTTAAACCTTCTCAAGGTAGTCTCCGCCGATTTGCAAACATTTCCTCGGTCGTTTTATCTACCTTTCAAATGTTTCTTTGTACCAGACAGTAACAAACTTCAAAACTATTTCATTGGTTGCTGCTTTCAGGTCATAGGTGCGAGGTCAGGGCTGTAGAGGCTGTAGAGGGGTGGCAATCTCAGAAATCCCAAAAGATAAATTTCAAGCTGTGTTTTTAGAGCTGTATGAGACAGAGCATTGTCTTCATGAAGTATGTAATCCCAAATGTCTATATCCGTTCTCTTTTTTCTCAAAGCACGTATGAGATGCGTCCTCGTGGGGGGGGGGGGGGGTCTGGGAAATGAAGAAAATTCATTAACTTGAAGTTAAAGTCCCGGTAGCGTTGAGGAAGAAAATACATTGTCATTCATTTTTAATTTTTTTTTTCATTATTATATAATTTATATTTGGAAAAAAATCTTATTCTAATGTTTATTAAATAAGACAATTTGTATTTAATTTAATACATATACTATTTAAATTAAAATTAAAAAAATCTAATCATTATTGATCATTAAACACAAACCGTAGAGTAAAGGACTCCATTAACAGATCATCCTTCCGGCACTTTTTGAATAAATATCATTCCACGCTGATCCATAAAAAGATGAACAATTGTTTCATACATGATTTTGCACACTTTGCTTTTTAGGTGGTGGGGACTCAGGATTTTTCCACACAGAGGATTGCTTCTTGGATTCTGGATCGTAGTGGTAGAGCCAAGTTTCACCCAATGTAACAATTCTATCAAGGAACATCTCGCCCTCACGTTCAAAGCGTTTTAGAAATTCTAAGGAACATTGAACCATGTTCTCCATCTCTGCCTTTGAAAGAAACTTGGGAACCCATCTCGCACTTACTTTGTTTATGTTAAGTTCATTTTTTTAAAATGCGCTCTGTTGTTCCGTAGGACGTGCCAATTTTAGCGTCTATGTCACGCACGGTACGTCGGCGGTCCACCTCCTTTATCGCCCTAACTTTGTCCGCGAGGACAATGCGACCTTCCACTGGGCGGCAAGACCTCTCATTCTCCTCCACAGAAGTTCTCCCCTCCTTAAACCTCCTATGCCACTTGAAAACTGTTGCTGCACTTTCATCCTGCTTGTGTCACTAATTTATGCGTCTGATTCGGAGTATTCTCCAAATTCTCACAAAACTGGATAACTGATCGAATTTTTAACTTTTCTACCGATTGCATGATCAATAACAAATCATCAGTAAAACGCATAAATTTCCAGGAAATCATTAAAACGTTCTTACAACGGTTTTAGGACTTTCGATATTGAGCTTTTGAGCGGAGTTTGGTCCTGTTCTTTATTTATAAAATTCTGCATCATTTTTAAGTTCTAACATTAAACCTGAATTCTACAATGCAAATTGAACTCTATTCAATGAAAGAAACGCGATAAAATTCCATTCAATTAGAATTAAGCTAGGAACTATATCTTGTGCCAGAAAGATAAAAAAAAAATTGGCATGTGAAAAAAAATACAGTATTCGATATTATTTTATGAGTCTGATTCCTTTACCTGGCCCTGTGCATTTTTGAAAAAAAGAATTGCTCAGTTTTAGTTGAAAATATTTTTTTAAAATATCAGTTTCAAACTCTGTGACTACTACTACCTATCTGTTCAAAAGCGTAGGAGCAATTTTTTTTTAGGTGTTTGTCTTTTCTGGTTTCTGACTCGATGAATTTTTTTTAAAAGTATATTTCTTTATATGTCTTATATTTTAAGATCTTAGAGATTTACCCTAACAAAAAAATACGATAGTTAAGTACAGTTAACAAAATTAACTATAGTAAATCAATTTTCAAATTTATAGTTAATCAAAGTTCCAAAGTTTTAACTATGGCGAATCAAGGTTCCATAGTTTTTATTATTGTTAACTCGAGAAATACATATAGCACATTTATGGTTCCCCTTGGCAGGAAGCTTTTTCATCTATCGGGAACCATAAATTCGCTATTTCCCACGTACCCATTCCATAACTGTATACTATAATATTTTTGTAAGGGTTAGAAGATCATCATTTTCTTTTCTGATAACAATTGTAAAACTGAAATAGAAATGGTAGACTGAGTTTGAAATCGCGAATGGACTATATTTTTGGCGGAATGGTTGCTTAAAAAATACCATCTTTTCTACTTCTCAAGGGACAATGAATTTATTTATAAACTTAAACAAAGAAAGACTTTTAAAATGAATTAAAGAAACAGATGATTTTCCAAATAAATTACATTCATGGAAGTTTTTTTTAAACTTCTAATTTAAGTACAGATTTGGGCCAAAATTCTGTAACAATTGTTTTTTTTTCTTTTTACGTAAACTATCCAAACTTCTTGAACATGTGAAATTTTGTAAATTTACATGTATATGATTACTTAGTCTTTACCATACGTGCAATAAGAAAACCTGAATATAGGAAGCATATAGAAATAACTAACATATCCTTAAGCTTTTAAAAAGGTAGAGGAAAAGCAGATAATCAAATATCAATTCTAATTAAATCAAGCGTGTCAATTTGGTAACATCATCTTAAACACTCTTTATTGTAATATCTTTTTATGCAAGAAGAAAAACATTAAATGTTTTCAAATAGAAGTAGTCGTCTCGTGGTTGACAACCGTAATGTTTTATTCTTTATGTTTAAGGAAAACTTAATTACTTTGACCTGACCTTGCAACTATTTTAAAACCGTCAAATTTAATCTATCTGATATCATCACTTAATAATCACTGATTTAAATGATCATAGTGGCATGCTTCAGACTGCAGTCAAAGAGTATAATGTCAATTAATTTTTTTTTCAGTATTTTATTTACTTAGTAAATTTCATGATTTGAATTGCAATTTTCCAAAAAATTAAAGTGTCTTAAAGTAAAAAAAAGCAATCGAATTTTAAATGAATAAAAAATTTGAAGTTATATTCTTCGGCAGATTAGTTGTGTTGTTTCAAAATAGGAACCATCCACTGAACGTCGACTTATAAGCTGGATTACTAATTATACGTCCGGTAGGACCGTTAATTGGATGTGTCCGAACCAGTACAATATCTCCCTTATTTATTTCAGCCACCACGATTCCGGTGGTTGTCCGGATATTTGGTACACCTTCACCAGAAGTAAACATGCTACCTATCTGATGGGAATTTACTGCAATTTCAGAGAATACGCGTCCTCCGTTTGCATCACAGTAAAGGTTCCATGTAAAAACGTATACCCCATGTAAGGGTGCAGTAAAGGCCCCTGTGTGTTGATTGTAATAATCCCCAACGTTTGTCAAGATGCCGTCAAATAGGATTGTTTGATGTTCAGTTATATGTGTCGTTTGCGGTTTTAAATAGACAGAAAACGCAACACCATTAGGTTGAGGAGTTGAAGGTATACCTATAAAATGCAATCATTATTATGAGTTACCGGAAAAGACATTAAATTTCTTTTCATGACGTCCAATCTTTATCATAGAAGAATCAGTAATAAATAGTCATAAATGTTTGTATTCTCCATCCCAGTACATTTGATAGCATGTTGATGCAAAATAATAATAACATACGAGGGTCATTCAAAAAATACATAAACAATGCTTCTCATCGTCATATAATCATTACAAGATTATAGGTTAACACATTTTCGTAAACATAAACATTTAATTCTTGAACTGTGAAGTTTCATTCCATTTGATTAAATAGAACTCATGTTAGCCAAAATTTAAACCAACATGTTTTGTTACCACGGAGCACGGTTAACCAACATTGTAGCGTCAAAGACAACGTTGAGAAAGTTTGTCAAAATTATAGTAATTTTCTTAATTTCAAACACGGTTTGTAGCGTCTTCTCCATTCAAAAAACATATCCATAACACTTAACACCTAGTTTGCGAACAATTGTACAAATATAGCTTGAATAAGAATGTCATTGTTTTCAAATTCTTTAATTTACCATGTAACTCTATTAATTCTGCAACAGTGAAGCACACATTACGTTCAGTGACGTTCCTAACTCTTTCGACAATATTTTTAACTTTAACCTGTTTCTTTGCAGACAATCCATCGTCAGATTCAAACTCGCCACCACTCAAAAATTGTATTTTCCATTTAATACAAATACACAGATTATTTTTCATACAGATCCTGGTTTATACCGATTTTTTTAGCTTGTAGAAGAAGTTTCCCAAATGTAAAGTACAAGTTTATTGATACTTGCTGCTCCGTGACGTCCTCTAACGTTATGGTTTTTGGCTTATTTTAATCAAGTCCATATGTATTTAGATACTGATATCTTTAAAATGGAGCGACATATTACATAACCTGATTTCATTTTAATTAATACAGCAATACCTAATTCGAACATGTAAATTTTATTTCGTTTCAGCTCCATTTATTAGAAGTATTGCTATAAATACTATAAAGTGAAAGTTAGTAAATTACTCAATTTTGACGGTGCTCCGTGATCCCTTTTTTGCTGTTCTAAATCCTTGTTAATTTTAATAAATATGAAGATACGTTCCAATTTTTTACTCAAATTATTTGAATCTGTTGTTAAAAAAATTTGTAACAAATTTGGATATAATATGACGTTAAATAAAAAAGTTAGGACAGAAGTCGACAAACTTTTTGAATGACCCTCGTATGTTAATTATATTTTATTTGTGTTTCTTTGAAAAGATGTTTCCTATTTTCACAGCTCTTTATTTAATTTGTGTGCTTGATAATGTTTTGTATTTTTAATAAAAATTGAATTAAAAATATTAAATTACTACTTTTAAAGTATTGTTCTTTTGTGAAAAAACTAATAAATTTTAGTCACATAAATATATATTGATATAAACGGATTTCTATTTATATACATATATATCAAATGAATTTTAAAGTATTCTAAAATATATATACTTCTCTGAAAAAATATTACCAGTCAATAGCCGTTTGGAAGATGAAGGCAACGAATTTGATTGCACTTTAGACTCAGTCACTTCTTCACCAGTCACAGGTACCAAATTTTCAAGCTTCCTAGAATTTTCTAGTCCTTGTTTGTTACAAATCAAGATTCTAAAATGAATATTGTTTATAATTTTAGCATGAGATTTAACTGTTTTAATCAATTTGAGGTTTTCTTTTTGCAGTCTCTTCACATGGGCGTCCATCTTCCCAACTGATATTTCCATCTGATTGAGTTTACTTTTGAGTTCATTATTTTTGGTCTTTAACTTCTTATTCTCTTCCTCGTTTCTTGCGATAGATTCCTCAAGATTCCATATCCTTTTATTTTGACGAGCATTTTCCAGTCTTTCCTGTTCTTGCATCTCTTGCAATGTCTTAATAACATCCTCTGAATGGGAGATTCGATCACCGTCTGTGGTAAATACTTCCTTTGCTGCGACGATCGTGGTCAAAGAAACCAATAGCAGTAGCGAAGAAAGAGGCGCCATTACACCTTTCTCTTCGTTGAATGTCCTTATTTTCCCTTGGTGACCCTTTAACGTCTTATCCAATATATGTGCGCAAAATAAAGATATGAACTGTAAAAATTTGGAGTAAAAATCGAGCAATGTACTTTCGATCTATTTATTAATACAAAATAGTAGCATAGCAAACACTGACCTCCAAAATATCAAATATGGGATCAGGTGCCATAAAGGATTGAGCATCACCTGCCGACCATTAAACAAAGGATACAGTCAGACTTTTGTCTCATGGTTTTTTTTAAAGTAATTTTCCTTAATATCCCGCAAACAAATGAGGTATATATAAATTGTCGCGTTTGTCCGTCCGTCTGTCCGTGCAATCTTGTCCAGGTTATACATTTGTTATATAGAATTAAAACATTGGAAGTAAATTTCGTACTAGACAAAATGATTACATACTGTCCGAAATATATGTCACGACAGTGACCCATGGTCATTTCTGAAAATTCAAGGTCACTGACAGAAATTTTAATGTTCTAGTTCTGTTCATAACTTCTAGTCTGGGCTAAGAGGCTAAGACTCTGACTTTTTAATAGGGCAAGAGTGTATCTTAACCTTCATCCAAGGTCACTCCGGCAAGTACATCAATCGGTTAAAATATGTATAATTCTTTTCGGGACTTTGAGTCCATACTAGGTACAACGATTGCTTAAGATCTGAGAATGTGTGTTGACCTTGATCAAAGGTGGCAAGTTCAAGGTCACTGAAAAATGAAACACTTAAGTTTTGGGCCATCTTTAAAAAATGATTGCTGTCCTAACCCGACTAGGGGTAAAATAACTGGGTCGTTAGGTACGATGGGAAAACCTTTTGTCAAGAGATTTCAACATAAGTGATGACTGGATAAGAGGGAAAAATACCTTGTAATGGAATGTAAAAAGACGTTTTGAGTCCGGCCATTTTTATTCAGTAGGTTTGGAGAGGACAAATAAAAAAAATTAGACATGGCTTGGGCCATATCTTTAACAGAGAATCATTGGAAGTTCAAACTAGGATTGGGGTTCCCTTATATATTCCCCCATTTATCCCTTATATGGCCCGATGGTGTGTCAACACAACATTATTCCGGTAGGTTCAGGGTAACTGGCAGAAAATATATTAATATCTTGTATTGGTTATACTTTGTACGAAGATTATTTCTAATGCCATTTGGGTTTGCTATAATCATGACCTTGGTACATGGTCATTCTGACAGGTTCAAGGCCACTCACAGAAAAAAGCATAATATTCATTACAGGTCTGTTAATTTTTAACAACCCTGAAAGCGACACTGTGACGCACAAACGGGAAATTAACAAATGTCGAATTTTTGCATGACCCGTGTTAAATTTGTTCAATTCCTTAAACTTTTAGGTTTCAGAAAACTACAGGTTTCAGAACCTCAAATTTCTATTTTTTTTTCTTTTTTTATTTTCGGCACGTTACATAGTGCAGTTTTTTCTTGCAGTTTAATTGTCATATCTTAGCTATATACTCATAATTTTCAGAATCTTTTTCTGTATGATAAAGATATCTTAAAAGAAAGACATGATTTTGACTCATTGTGTCCTTTGAATGTTTATATTTCCCAAAAGATTTATTATCTTCAAAGTTTGATTTTTTAACCGAGGTCCTTTTGATAAGTTTAAGATAACATTTTCAAAATCATATTTGGCACTTGAAAAAAAAAATGGATGTGTTCGATATTATTTTATGAGTCTGATTGCATTACTTGGACCTGTGTATTTCTGAAAATCAGAACTGCTCAGTTTTAGTTGAAAATATGTTTTTAAAATATCAGTTTCAAACTCATTGACTACTATTACCACTCTGCTACCAGTACAATATCTCCCTTATTTATTTCAGCAATGACGATTCCAGTGGTTGTTTGGATATTTGGTACACTTTTACTGACAGTAAACATGCTACATGTACCTGTCTGATAGGAATTTACTGCAATTTCAGAGAATACAGTCCTCCGTTTGCATCACAGTAAAGGTTCCATGTAAAATTGTATACCCCAAGTAAGGGTGCAGTAAAGGCCACTGTGTGTAGACTGTAATAACCCCAAATATTTGTCAAAATGCCGTCAAAAAGGATTGTTTGATGTTCAGTTATATGTGCCGTTTGCGGTTTTAAATAGACAGAAAATGCAATCATCATTATGAGTTATTGGAAAAGGCATTAAATATCTTTTCTTGACGTCCAATCTCTATCATAAAAGAGTCAGTAATAAATAGTCATAAGTATTTGTATTCTCCATGCCAGTACATTTGATAGCATGTTGATGCAAAATCATAATAACATATATTTATTATATTTTATTTATGTTTATTTAAAAAGATATTTCGTATTTTCACAGCTCTTTATTTAATTTGTGTGCTTGATAATGTTTTGAATTTTAAATAGAAATTTAATTAAAAATATTAGAATACTAATATACAAGTATTGTTCTATTGTTTAAAACTGATTAAGTTTAGTCACAAAAATATATATTGATATAAACGGATTTCTATTTATATAATACCTGTATATATCAAGTGAATTTAAAGTATTTTAAATTATATATACTTCCTTAGAAAATTAAAATAAATACCAGTCAATAGCCGTTTGGAAGATGAAGCCAATGATTTTGAATCCACTTAAGACCCAGTCAATTTTTCCACTGTCACAGATACCGACTTTTCAAGCTACATAGAATTTCCAAGTCCTTGTTTGTTACAAAGGAAGATTCTAGCATGAGATTTAACTATTTTTATCAATTTGGGGGTTTCTTTTTGTAGTCTCTTCACATGGGCGTCTATATTCCCAACTGATATTTCCGTCTGATTGAGTTTACTTTCCAGATCCTTATTTTCGGTCTTTAACTTCTTATTCTTTTCCTCGTCTCTTGCCAAAGAGTCCTCAAGATTCCATTTCCTTTTATTTTGAAGAGGGAGAGGGTGCTATTTGAAACCTTATCATCAGTTTAAAACAGAGATGTTGTCCTAGAAGGCCTTGCGTAAATAAAAAAAAATAATCAAAATCAAAAAATTCAAAACTTGGAGGATTTTTTTTAAAGAATTGTCCGAAAGGATATAAACATGATAAAGCTCGCTAAAAATCATATTAGTTTTTCTTTTTGAGTGTGTTGACAGATAGGCCTACAAAAACTAAGAACAGATTTTACTTTGAAAAAATAAAAATCTAACAGAGTTTTCTAATTTTGTCATTCCGAAGCACATATCTTTGTCCTTGTCTTGCATATCTAGTAATGTTTAAGCTTATATTCTTGTTAGCATTGCCATCAATTTTCAACTGTAGGAACGTGAGTGGCGCCATTAAACATTAATTTTTCTTTCTTCTAAATTATGACCTTTGAAGTGTCATCTATTACACAATCAGATTGGATGAAGACGCTAACTACATGCATAATTACAAAATTATGTATGTTACAAGAGAAAAAATATACTTTGACAATGGAAGCTGACAAAATATACATAAATAGTCTTACGAATTATCCGTTGTTGTTCAAATACAATGTAGACTAAACATGGTTGCTGTATAAAGTGCTGTTACATGTATTTATATCACATTCAAATGTTTAATTTTGTCCATATATTTTCCTCTTTTCAAAGACATACAAAGACAACATTTAGGTGAAAATGTCAGCTTCGTACATTAACAAATTTGCATAGTGAGTAATGCAAAATTGTTAATTTACGAAGTAATTATTTTCGGTAAAAGTTTTGTCTTTTTCATCATTAGTTAGACTGTATCAAGAAATTTGGTGATCATCATATTGCTAGAGGAAAAAAATAACAAAACAAACAAACAATATAGGTTTGATTGTATGTTTATATGTTGTTGAACGTCCCAAAGCAATATACTGTATACAGGGTTATTTTCGCCCCGTCTTATTTTCGTCCTTTCACACTTGCAAACATTTTTGCCCCGTTTTAAATTCGCCCTGTCATAGTTTTGTTTAAGAAATACTACTGTAATATTTAAATTCGCCCCGTTTTAAATTCGCCCAAATGGGGGTAGGGCGAAAGGGGCGAAAATAAAACAGGGGCGAAAATTTCCCTGTATACAGTAAATATCAATAGGATAAGCCTTCATATCAATACGCTCTTTGAGGTAGTTTTTAAGGCATCAACTATTATATTTCTTTTAAAATCATTAATCAATATAATTTCAAGGTAGCGGGAAATGCAGAATGTAAAAGCAATGTAACTTAATTAGATGAATTTGTATAAATGAATGCAGAATTGTACATTTAGATATATAATAATTATTCCTTCCAGTAGTTCTTGTCGATGTACTGTATATTTGTTGTCTTATGTCACTCCGGTGCATGAGAGATAACATATTTTAAGGTTATAAAGGGAAGAACAAATAGTATAATGGCGACATTTTTGTTGCTGTTACTGTACTTGCCAGTGATTATCTCAAGAAAAGAAGTTTCTTTCACAGACAGTGACAGGACAACTCCACTAGAAGAAGTATGGAAGAAAATTTTGGACACGCAAGACAAAAACAGAAACGAAAATGCTCTTCAGAATAAACAAATCTGGAAACTCGAGGAGACTTTGGCAATATATGAAGAAGAGAATAAGAAGCAATTAACCGAGGACACTGAATTAAAACGTAGACTAAATAAATTGGAAATATCAGTTTTTGAAATAGATATCCTTGTGAAAAAATTGAGAAAGAAAATTTTGAATTTCAAGAAACCCCTTAGCTCACGCAAATATATTAAAAACTTTAAAGAACAAAAAAGTCGTCTCAAATCTAGGAAGCCTGGAAAAACGAAAGAAGCTAAGCCGGTGTAAAGACGAAAAATGACCCCCATCGAATAATGACCGGGGAGTCATTTTTCAACGACAAAAAATGACCCCCACCTGTAGAAAAAAATCATTTTTTGTAGAAAAAGGGTCCTAGGGGGTCATTATTTTATATGTTAGTCCTATAAAATAATGACCCCCATTGAAAAATGACCCCCTTTAAAGTGATACAA